ATTTTCAGACAGGAAAGGGTCTTTAACAAAGCTTTCAAATGAATAATTTATTGACAGCAAATTACCAAAATTTGTTAAAATGATTTAAATACCTATATTTAACCATCATCGTATGAAATTTAACCTTTTATTTGTTTTGGTTGAAAAATCAGAGTACGGTACATAAACTGGGACTTGAGATGCAAGAGTTGCTGTTATTTGTTTGGTTTACTGCCCTTTGTTTTGAAAAGTCCGGTAGGTGGCGACACCTCCATCCTCTGTTTCTAGAGGATAAAATCACAGGAGTTCGCGTACCTTTCAATTTTGCCGAAAATTTCGGTAAATAAAAAAGATACGTAATACCTATAATAATAACAAGGAGTGCAACCGTTGTCCACGACGCCATGACGTGACGTCACGGGCGGTCCATTTACCCAAAAGGAACAAAAAAACAAAAAAACAATCATACACAATTAACTAGAGATAAAGATATTACGTTTAGATACGAGTACAAGTACTTGTACCTCCCCGTTTTAAATTTTCTTGAATGTCTACTAACTTGTCTCTGGTTTCTTTTCGCATATGACCTCAATCATCTAGATTAGCATTTCAGGAAATTTTGTTCCTTTTTGGGTAAATGGACGCGCCCGTGACGTCACGTCATGGCGTCGCGGACAACGGATATTTGAGCGAAGTTGTGGAAAAATGTCACCGCTACTGCTGTAAAACATGCGTTTGAAATCACATGCATAAAGAGCCATAAAGAATGGTCCCTTCAAAAAAGATTGGTTTGCGTTTATTAATTTTCGATTGAAGATTAATTGTGCGACAGCCTTGATATTAAGCGAGGGGTTACCAGATGACCTAAAATGCGTTGCACTCCTTTGTGTGATTATTATACGTATTACGTATTCTTTTTTAATTTCATGAAAATTTCGGTATAATTGATTGGTACGCGAACTCCTGTGATAAAATCTATCCTCCAAAAACAGAGGCCGCCTAGACCTGTTTAATGTCACGAGGATATATATTAACAGATAAATGTAACATATTTTAAAAACAGATCACCATTTCAGTCTTTAGTTGCTTCATAAAAGAAACAATTAATTGGTTTGCGGCCGATTTTTGACGCTTGCGTCAATGTATGTTTCTTGTACGTCTCTGATACCAATACAGTTTTCCGACATCATGCACCATGTACATGTATAGAAGCTGTCAACAAGGTGTTTATCTGATAGGATAATAAACCTGTGTACTCTAGAAAAATAAATTTTATTTACATATTTATACCAGATTTAGGATACATGTTAGACAGGGGTATATTGTTAAAATATTGCAAAGGAAAATTGCCTTCCTTTTTTGAGATCCGCTCCTCCACTCTCAATATACATTGCGATCGCGCCGATCACATGTAAACATTGATTCATCGGTGCATACTGCTTAAACTTTTGCTAAATTGTTTATACTAATGTTGAAACTAAACATACATCTTCCACATTGTTACAAATCTAGCAAAATTTGTTAGAACAACAGTCAAGGTATTTGTATTTTCTATAAATAAAAAAAAATAGGAGAGATATCTCTAATGTCAACAATCGATGTAAAAGGGGTACCAGAGAGGGACTTTTAACATTTCAGCGAGTTAGCTCCTGGATTATAAAAGAGATCTTTTATTACCAAATAAAAACACTTTCAGTTGTCGGCATAATTTTTTTTATTTTAAATAAATAAAATATTGTTGTACTTTGGGAACAATTAGGTCCTGTTAATGTAGACAAGGAAAAACAAAGAAAAAAGGAAAACTGTAAAATTGAACAGACTGGACTTTTAAATTTTTTTTCCCCAAATCTCTTATCTATAGCTTTTTTTTTTTTGCATGAAATAATTTAATAACGAATTTCATTTTTTTTTTAATAATATACATGCAAAGTATCTACCGTATCATGAATCATGATTAAAAAAAATAAAACTTTAAAAATGTTGTTTTGTCTTATATTCTTGTTGCACAAACGTTGTTTTGTCATATTCTTGTTGCACAAACGACACTTCAATTTAGAGAAATTAAAACAAGCAAAAACATCCGAATAAAAAAAAATGTTCCAACTTAAATAGAGCTGCATGGTCAAGTTAATCTGATGAGAGAGAGATGGCGAGAAAGAGAGAGAGGATGTAGGGTGGATAAAAATATTTATATTGAATCTATGTAGTTCTATATAGTCTATATAGTTCTCTAAACTACATGTATGGCTATATATTTTCAAGATCTCCAAATTTGAAATACATGTAACTCTTTGGTACTTACTTGTTGTTTTTTTTTTTTTTACAAAGAGTTCAAATGTTTTAAGCATTTTCTGCAAATTAACCCCTAAAGCCACGAAGAACTTTGTCTTTCACAAAAGCTCGATCAGCATTGAATGTCTTTAACAGATCAATTATCATGCTAAAAACCCAATTCATCACTGGACTCAACTCATTGCTGTTAACAGTGTGGAATATATTGTTTAACCTCTTATCAAATTACGGATAAATATTATTACATATACACATATTATGATTTTATTTGTTTGATTGATAAAAAAATCCTTTTAAGTTCAGGATCGGGTTTCATTTTTACATGTAAATGCTGACAGAAAAAAATTAGATGATTTTAATACACGACATAAAACTGCAACAATATGCTTGCATTTTGTTTTATTTTGGCCACAGTGCAGGGAATGCGGGTGGGGTTGTCCGTTTATATTTCCGTAACATGTAAGGCTTTACAAGGCTTAGCATATCCAAGCTTCTAGCATGGGACCAGAAAGGAATTCATACTCTGTAAAACTCAGTTCGTAACATAAAATTTAGAAAACAAAATCATTAGAATGAAGGTAATCTTTTACAATTCAGTCATAAAAAAATATGATGAATTTTCTAAGATGCTTACATCCCTACAAAAATCTGACATTTCAAAACTCAGCCAGTTCAGATACAATTGTCAGGAAATATATTATACAAAACAGTCATATTTAACTGACTGTATATTTAGGCATGAACAATTACCGGTATATGTTATTATTTTTAACCCACACCTACCTCAACAAAATCTATACATTAAACTGCATGATTCATTTTCAGTGGACCTTCAGATATCCGGGCCCCAGATATACGGATGCTTCGGTATCCGGACGACTTTTCATTGGAACGAAATTTGTAAATGTAATTTTGTCTTGTTTAATTGGTAATTCAGGTATCCGGACGCTTCACATATTTGGACAAATTGACTGGGAACCAAAGCGTCCGGATAAATGAGGCTCCACTGTATATTGATTTGTCTACTGGATGTTTTTTTTTTTAATAAATTAATGAGGAAAAAATCGATGAACCACTTTGTTCGAAATTCTTAATAAATTTTTGTAAATGTCATCTTTAATTTTATTCTATTGGTATGCTTCTAAAACCGTCCATTTCATAAAATAGAACCAGATCCTGTTATTCTAAGGTGTCATTATATACATGATTAACAATACTGAATTTATAACAATTCGGTTCCAGGCTCATAGTGCTCATGATCGCTGAGCGATTTTGAAAATGGCAATGCTCAGAAACAAAGGTGCAAATAGAAAATGAAGAATATTATGCAGTATTATTTCAAACCTAAATAAAAAGTGAAATTACATGTTGAGGGTTAATGGTACTGGGTGTAGGAGAGACACCCTGCCCTTGCACCTAAAACTTTGGAAGTAACAAAAAATATTTATTTATTTTAACTGGATCGTGTTCACAAGAATTCTAAGTTTCTGCCATTAAGATTTTAACCCCCCCCCCTCACCAACACACACATAATCCAACCAATGTTAATCCTGGGTCTATCTATTGTGTAAATGTGTGCGGGTTATAAACTTATAATTCATTCCTTTGTTTATAAAATTTTTCATCTTTTTGATCGGTAAATATCAAAATATTTTTACTGTAAGACTAAAAAATATTTCGTGTATCCTTTATATTTTTCAAACAGCAGTGTCATTTTTTGCCCTTTGCAAACAGACAACCTTAAAAATGCAGTGAATTAACCGAATTTCCGTTTTATTTACTGTCTACAGCATATACTAGTATCGTAATAACATGTTACCACGCTTCACAATTTTTTTGTCTTTATATGACATTTAGAAAAAAAATAACAATCTAATAAATTTTCACTTCATTTAGGTAGCGTTTTGTTGCTCTAGATATATTTTTTTAAAATTAATTTCTCACATATATTGTAACTTAAGACAAATCGTTTTATGCTCTTCCTATCGAGAACAATGTTTTAAATTAAAATAATTTTCTAATGAATTCTACAGGCTTATCAAATGAGTCTTGCATGGATTACTAGATGTAAATATTTTGTTTGAGAAAATAATTGTTTAAAAAAAACTGAATGGATGTCACCCGCTGTTCAGGTCTCCCCCTGGTGTCATAGAAAAGTGTGATGTAAAACACTCACTCATAATACTATACACCACTAATGAATCGATAATATATATATATAGCTATTGAATAATTATTAATTATTAAAAGAGACAATGAGATAAAGATAATGTGAATGGGTAAATATAAATATTACACAACTATGAATTACCAAAGTAAAATTACAGAAGAAAATCATTTTACGTTCACTCTGAAAACGTTTGACGTTGTTGAAAAACATGACGTCATTATGAACCTCTTAAAGTATCTTTGATAAAAATGAAGAAAAAACCTACTTAGAGTAGAGACAGGACCATAAAATTTCATATTTGACAACTTCTAACCTTACTCTATAAAAATCCCTGAAAAGGTCAAAATGCATAAAAATTGCCATAAGGGCCCTTTTCCCATGGGCGCAATCAAATGTCAATCAGAAGGAAGATTTTTTGTTTCGGTGGAATGGATGCTCTCTTGACCAGTGTTACCACTTGTAAACTTGCGGATTACATAATACTGGTAAATATCTGCTTGTCTAAAGTTTAAGAATGAACAATAAATTTGAAAATAATAATAGATCTTTTCAAAACGTGTCTTAATGTTTGATTTCTTAGAAATTAGGTAAGGGAAATAAATGTTAACTCATCGGTGATTTTCCATTTTAGTCGTGAACCCGATCCATCATTCCTGGAGACAATTCTTCAAACTCTTGGTTTGCAAAAAGTCCCCGAACCTGTGTGTCCAACGTCCTATGGAGTTATACTGGTATATATGGTTCCTGTATTTTATTCCGATATGTTGTTTTAAGGACTTTTCTACACCAGTGCAAAATGTTTTTTGACACTGAAAAAAATTTTTTGAAGTGTTAATATTCGGTTTATTTACCCCCGGTATTTAATTTTTACTGTATGGTATGCGGTATTTACCCCAAGGAAAAATATTCAAACACAATATATAAGTGAATAGAAATCACTTGTATGATTATTTAATTTAACTTATTTGCATCTTCGCTAGCCAAGGGTTTCTGATACGCTTTTCTCCTCATAAACCCTTGGCCTACGGTGAAGTGAAAAGACGGGATTGTTTTCCGTCACGTGATCTCGAAACTATCAGGTACGCACAGATTGCGTCATCGCCAGAAATAAAGACACGTGTTAAAAAAAATTAAATCAAAGTTTTTTCCAGAATAATTAAGAAGCAATAATTGAGTTATGTTTATTCATTATTTATAGAACAAATCTGAAGCTTCAATATAGATTCTTAATCACATATTTAGAAGATATTGGATGACACCATGGCTATTCATAGAATTGACTGTTATCTTACGGATCGTTGTTTTCTTGCGTTTTTCATTTCCGAGATTAAAGAGTGAAGATGTATCCCGAACGCAAATATCGTCATTTACAAATAACAATTGCTGATTGGTCGACCTGGGTGTACTGAAATCCAATCAGAACTCTGGAAAAAAATCCCGATTTCTATGAACACCGTAGGCCAAGGGTTTATGAGGAGAGTAGCGTATCAGAAACCCTTGGCTAGCGAAGATGACTTATTTGGGCCTTTTAAAATTTTAAGAATTCTTGAATGGATTACAAAGAAGATGTGGGAACAAGACGGGCAGAGTGCCTATAGCGTCAGATATTAAGAAATCATGTTCAATATGTGAATTGAGTATTTAAATTAACTTCTCATTATTGAAATTTATGAATTATTAGAAAAATACCTTTTCTAAGAGAAAAAAAATCGTTAAAAAATTGTCTTTTATAAAAATACTAGTTGGTTTCTTGGGATTCGAACCCCCTAGCAATAAAAATCCGACGAATCTTACTGCCTTGAGATTGAGACTACGCGCTAACCACTATGCTACATGGCTCATGATGATATTGGGCATTTAATTCAGGTTTGTGATATGACCTTTGACTTAATGGACTTAAAGTATTTCTCAGAAATATGCCAATGTTCGGTCATAAAAGTGTACTTTTGAGGTATAGTGGGTCTTCGCTCCATGTTTTTGTAAACCAAAAATTGTATATTCTATTGCAAACCTTTAGGATAATCTTTCATAAAACATGGAGCGAAGACCCACTCATATTGAAAAATATTGTTCAAGTATGAGAAAACAATCGATTTTGTTCTTTCAGTGTGTATATGCTTTTTCATAGGCAAATATTTTCAGTCTTTGTGAGATTTTTGTAAATTGTAGAGATTTTACATTAAGTATATTTTAATACGAGATAAAATATCAAATAAAATTTAGATATAATTGAGATTTAATTTCTCACTTCTTATCTGTCGCACTATAGGCACTTCGCCCGCCTTATCCCCCATCTTCTTTAGTAAGATAGATAGTTTTTGATAGGCCTGAATTTAGCAAGAGTTACTTCTCGTTGGCCGCCACATTGTGATTGTCTTTTTCTTCCCTTTGTCTCACCAAGTTTAAGAGGATGTAGCAGAAATATTTGTTGGAAAATATTTATTTAAATTTTTTTTAATTAAGGGGCTTTTAAAATTTATATACCTCTGAAAAATAAAAATTTCTAATTCAAAATAGCAAATTTAAAAATTTAAAGCAATATGAGCTGATATGAACCAGAGAAGTTTATAAATTTTTTTTTCTGTAATTGAAATAGTTAATCACAAATTTCCAACAAAATTTTCCCACGTCCAATTTGCAGCTCATATTGCTTTAAAATTGTTTGAACAATGAAAGAATAAGAGTATTTGGACCCCCAATATGGCGGCCAACGGGAAATAACTATTGCTAAATTCTGGCTTATCTAAAACTACTATAGCTAAATAATACATGTACTATAAAATTATTTTTGTCCCCGCTTGAAAAGTGGGGGAAATAAATTTGGGTCTGTCCGTCCGTTCGTCCGTCTTTCTGTCTGTCTGTAACGCTTTTGTTTCCACGATATCTCCAGAACCCTTTGAGCTTTCGCAATGAAATTTTGCATAGCAACTCCCTATGGACTAAAGAAGAACCCTAATGATTTTGAGGTCAAAAGGTCAAGGTCATAAATTCGCAAATTCTGTCTGTTATAACAATTTCGTTTCCGCGCCATATCTCGAGAACCCTTTGAGCTTTTGCAATGAAATTTTACATAACAACTCCCTGTGGCATAAGGAAGACCCTTCTTGATTTTGAGGTCAAAAGGTCAAAGTTCAAAGTCGTAAATTTATACATTCTGTCTTTATGTAACACTATCGTTTTCGGGCAATATTTCAATAAGATTTTGAGCTTTTGCAATGTAAATTTATACCAAAACTCCCTTGGACTTCTCTCATCCCTCTCAAAGTGCCCCGCTCCGTTTGTTTCATTAGTATTTATTGTACATGTATTACATGTCGCTATTTTTAGCACAGGGGTATGAGAAGAGTTATTTAAACAATAAAATGCTTTCTTTGTTTGTTGTTACTAGAATGAACGGAAGCAGCTGTTGCAGTAAGCGGGTTATGTAAATTTTTTCTGCAATAGCTGCGACCGTTCATTCCAGTAACAACAAACAAAGAAAGACATTTTATTGTTTATATTTATATCTGTTTAAATTATCATTTTAAGTAGGACTATAAATATTTATTATTGTGTTAATGATGCGAACGTCTTTGTACGTTTCTTTGATGGAACGGCCACTGATCAAGAAATCTGTACAGGTGATATGCCTAATGTAGTTTATGCAGGGATGAACGCAATGGGTTTTCTTAAGAAATAAAGAAGAAAATATTCAGTGGATGTAAATATAACGTATAAAACAGGTTCTCCGCGGACTTTATATTCTTATTACATCTATTAGAACTGTTTAATAAAGGCTAAATTAGACACCATGCATTGTGTAAAATTTTGACAATATCGAACGTGAATATACATATATGTGACTTCATATTTGCATATAATCTCTTACAGTATTGGAAGCGATTCCGTGGTCAAGTGGTATGTCTCTCGCTTCTTGTGTGAGAGGTCTCGATTTCGATTCTCAGGCGTTCCTTTTTCTTATTTTTTCCCGATTTTTTTTTTTTTACTAAATGATAATATTCAGCATCTGAAATGAAAAATTTATGAGGTCTGGCTTGTACAAACTCATAAAATCATCATTACAGTGTGATAAATATTCCATATAAAAAAGGATCTTCTATACACATAACAAAGAATAAGCAATCAGATCTTTATATCCATATTGGCATATTTTATTCGTTTCAGTATACATGTATGCATTTAATAATTCTACAAATTCAGTCAGAGGGATCCGAACCCCAAATTCTCTGAATTAGCTTGTCTATATTGAGATCTAAGGGCAGATCACACTAACTGCTGAAAAATACCATTGAATCAGAACTCTTTTGTGTGCAGTGTAGAGAAGGTTCTAGAGCTTATATACATGTACATGTATCTTTTTTCAGCATACATCTCACCGAAAACGTATTTTACATATTCTTATACTTATTGTCGAGAGTGTATATATTAAAAGAAATAAATTTTCTATAGAAAACTTACAAAAATATCAATTTTTACAATTTCTGTGGCAGTTACACCATATACTATTTAATATATGAATTTTCCAAATCGTGGCTTTGTTTCAGGTTGTTGTCGGTTGGATTGTCCTGCAAATAATTGTTGTAGTTTTCTACAGAAAGAAGAGTGTTGTGAAGGTAAGTTTTTATCAATATTTTAGGATATTATGCGTGTATACTGAATTTTTGTAACTTTAATTAAAGGGAATAGTTATACATGTATATAACGGCCTGATCCAAACAGAAAAACCTCACATTAATTACGGAAAACTTTACGTAGTTACAAATTCATTTATTTTCTCGATATCTAAAGTGTTACCATCGCTCTTAAAAGAAATTTAAGAGTTGTCTTTGTAACGTTTTTAAATTATCAATTTATTAATTACAGGACACAATGGTTCAGAAAGTACAAAATTTCATATCTGATAATGTATCCATTGCATCGCCATTTGATGCCATTGGTGCCCCTGAAAATGTCCGGGCCCTTGTTTCAGAGGGTACGGTTTTCTTCGATGAAATTGTATCTATAGAAATTGACTGCGTGGGAAAGAATGTGATCGAAAGTGTTTCAGAGGGAAGAATTTTCTTCAATGAAATTGAATCTGTAGACATTGGCAGTGTGGAGAAGAATGCAATCGAGAAAAGTGTTTCGGAGGGAATGATTTTCTCAAATGAAATTCAACTTGTAGGCATAGGTAATGTAGAGGAGAAAGTGACTAAAGATCTCTCCTTTTCGTCTGATGACACCGCAGAGTACGCCTCAGATGATTGCAACACTGATACTGATTCGGAAGTTGAATCTTTATGGTTAGAATCGGAGAGAGAAGCTTCAAATGCATCTGCTAGCAACATCAGTGCTTAGTGATGATGTTGCTAGCAGATAAACTAGCTAGTTTACAAATCGTAAACTATAGTTAACGATTCGTTAAGTATAGTTTTCATCTGTAAAACTATATTTAACGGTTGTTAACTATAGTTTACGAATGATAATCTAAGTTTATCTGTCTGTAATAAGCGTTAACAATAGATTTTGTTGATAAACATAGATTCACGTTTGTAAACTATAGTTTACAATCGTAAACTATAGGTAAGAGTTGTTAATCATAGTTTCACAAATCGTGAAACTATATTTATCAGATCGTTAACTATAGTTTACGGTTTGTAAACTATAGAAAGGCTGGTTGCCCCCCCCCCCCCCCCCCACTTTATACTTAAATTAAGTAATATAAAGGAAATATGGTATTGTAAGCTTAAAAAATGGATATTGAAAGGAGTTGGTAGTGAAAAAAGTTTGCCTCAATCCAACCCCCAACCCCCAACCCCCCCCCCAACCCCCACGAAATAGGATTTTTATTTATTTATTTATTTTTTTTTTTTTTTTGCTTTTAAAATTTTTAAGGTAAGTAAAAAAAAAATTTCTGTGGCTGCCCCCCCCCCTTTCAAAATCGATGCTACGTGCCTGCAGACGGACGGACATCCCGATTATTATATACCTCCCACTTTTCAAGCAGGGATATAATATTAGTTATCCAGGTTCAATCAAGGGTGTACGGGGATTTACCCCGGGTTGTATTCCATACACCCTGAGGCCGCAGGCCGAAGGGTGTATGGAATACAACCCGGGGTAAATCCCCGTACACCCTTGATTGAACCTGGATAACGAATTTATTTCCTTTGTATCCATAAGAATGCTTTGTAAACATCAAAGTGTGTCTCAATCTATCGATAAGATATTTATCATAGAGAATGTATGCATTGTGACGTCACGTTTTATTTACACCCGGCTCAAGTCGGGTGCACGGATATTTACACCCGACTTTGTAACCAATCAAAGCTCGTGTTACAAGCTAGATAGGAAATAAATATGCATATTGCGGTATTTGTATTTCAACTCTCAAGCAATCGCAAGCAATTTTGCCGGGTAGAAGGGGAAAAATAACGGATCATCATCATTTATGTATGATCATTTATTTATAGAGCATTTGTTTATTAGAGATTTGGTCGTAAAACTATGAAACATCGTAATGAAAATTGCAATAAAATGAAACAAAATTTATTTAAAATCTTTTTATAAAAGTTTTGTAACAGTAATTTAGTATGGTAATAAAAACATTTTTTCAAAAAGAAATAGAATAAAACAATTTTTTTTTTAGTAATATCCACTAAATAGTAGCTTGTGTCCGTCAAAAACATTTATGATAAAGAAAAACGCTACGAAAGAGGGGGAGGCGGTTATTATTATTGCAGAACATTTGAAATACTCAAACTGTTCTAGATAGCAGATTCTTATTTTTAAAATTATTTATATTTAATTTTACTTATTACGAAATATTTTTCAGTCGAAAGAGTATTTTTGTGCAACTTCTTCCGAAAATGGAGTGGATAAAATAAGAGATGTGCATCTTAATGAGAAAGTCAAACCCATTTATCATATTTAAATGTGTCGGGTTCGGAATACTCAAATTTGTTAAATGAAAGTAGGCCAGTGGCCAGACGCCAGTCACTGAGCCAGAAGACGTCCTTTAAATTTAAATAGCGTGGTATCAGAAATAATTTGATTGACTTAAAGAATTGCCGTTAAAACAGGATAATGTCTGACCCAGAAAGAGGAGATCGAGGTAGAAGGAGACCCAGGAGAAGGGGCGGTGGTCCAAACAGTGGCAATAGAAAGGTTAATAATCACTTATCACAAGACATAAAATTAATGAACCCTGCTATAAAGTTAAGATTTATGTGTTCTATTTCAGATTGAAAGGGAGGCATATGATGGAGATTACCAGTCATCAAAGCCAACTATCATTTTGGCCAAACCTGCTGCTCTGGACTCGGTTTGAATATTTTTTATGGCAATTCACATAATATGTTGAAAGAGCAACCGTTAGGGATAGCCCAGATACTTATTCAACTTTAATTTTGATCAGGCACGTCAAACCGCACATGACATATATGGTGTGTCTAGACTCTGACGTCACATGACATTGTGTTAGTTGCATTAACTGCATGAAGCCTGAAATGTGCCGACTTTAAATGAAGAACGTTTTTATCTGTAATATTTCAATTAAATCAAAGCAAGTTTATTTTTGTTTAAACTTTTGTAGATATTCTTGCAAGAACATATAGTGCATGAATTCAAAAATGCATGTACAATGCAATAGGATCAGCAACATACCAGTATATTTATTATCCTGAAGTTCTGAACATCTGAACATCACTGCTATTTATGTCTCTGTTTATTAACCAATTTTAATACCAATTTAAAAAAGTTACTTCTACACTTAGAATGTTCAGTTTACCTGATTTTAATGCATTTTTTAAGGGTGGAAGCACTCTTAGTACGAGCCCATCTTCAACTTCGTCTACAAACAAGCCAGACAAGCCTGTTGTCATGGCGATAAGACCAAGAGATGAGACATTCCCATCAAGCTCAGCTTCTGTACCATCAGGGGAAACTACTCCATCTCAGATCCCCTCAGCCTCGCACCGAATTCCTGCAGGAATCGTCCAGACGGATGGTAAAATCTGTCGAATGTTTTTGTGTCAATTCTTTTAATATGAACATATACCATAGAATAGTGTTTTCCTTAATCACTTCAACTAATATAAATGCACCTTAGAAATCATAAATTTCTGTTCATTTTCTTCACAACCATTGTACATACTAAAATGAAATTTAGTATACATATTTTATCAAATGAATATCGAGGTCAAGTTCTGATTTGGGTACGATCGAGCCCTTTCTGAGAAAGTTACTGTGAAATCACTAATTTTCGTGAGGGTTTAGTTTTCGTGGTATGAAGATACCCACGAATTTATGTCCACCACGAAATGTAAATTTGCATATGCACAACTACTAAAAAGTTCTTCATCCACGAAATCAAATCCCCACGAACCAACATTTTTTCCTCAAACCACGAAAATTTGACCCCACGAAAATATGTGATTTTACAGTATACCCCTTGGACTTAAAAAAATCTAATTATTTTGGGGAGGGGGGCATAAGTGTTTTACAAACATCTCTTTTTACAAAGTAATTTTTGTAAAGGACATGGAGATTGGTTCACAAACCTAGGACCCTTAGCCTTTGCAGTTGATTTAAAAGAGAAATTACTGATATACATTGTAAATAGTATTATTAAGGACTTCAGTCTGTGATGTTTTCAACTTTTCAACCACTTTTTGTTAATATTTAGAGCTTCCTTCAAATTAACTTTAACTGTGTACTTATATTATTGTAGGATCCAGTCGACTCTCTGCTCCCCTTGAAATGAACCAAAGCATAAGGATTGTAGACGACTGTCATCAATGGAGCGACGCAGGAATGGAAGTTAGAATCTTTTTGTCAATATCTCAATCTTAACAAGATTTATTTTGATCACATGATATGTGCCAATATATTACCAAATGATGGAGATTTTCAGGCCATAAAATTTATCAGTGATGTTAAGTGTCTATCTTAAGTGAGTTGTGCAAGAAGGTTTTACTTTACTCTGCTGGGGATTTTATGTTATTTTGTTTCAGATTTTACTTTATTTTGTTGTAGGATTCACTTCATTCTGTTGTTGTAGGCTTTAGTCCATTCTGTTGTAGGTTTTACTTTATTCTGGTGTAGGTTTTATTTCAATCTATTGTAGGTTTATCTTCTTTCTGTTGTAGGTTTTATTTTGTTCTGATGTAGGTTTTAGTTCATTCTTTTGTAGGTCTTACTTGATTGAGTTGTAAGTTTTATCTCAGTTTGATGTAGGTTTTATCTCAGTCTGTTGTAGATTTTACCTCACTCTATTGTAGGTTTTATCTCACTCTATTGTAGATTTTACTTCACTCTTTTGTAGGTTTTATCTCAGTTGTAGATTTCACCTCACTCTGTTGTAGGTTTTATCTCACTCTTGTAGAATTTACTTCACTCTTTTGTAGGTTTTATCTAACTCAGTTGTAGATTTTACCTATCTCTGTTGTAGGTTTTATCTCACTCTGTTGTAGGTTTTATCTAACTCTGTTGTAGGTTTCATCTCACTCTATTGTAGGTTTTATCTCACTCTTGTAGAATTTACTTCACTCTTTTGTAGGTTTTATCTAACTCTGTTGTAGGTTTTATCTAACTCAGTTGTAGGTTTTTTCTAACTCAGTTGTAGGTTTTATCTAACTCAGTTGTAGATTTTACCTCAATCTGTTGTAGGTTTTATCTCACTCTATTGTAGGTTTTATCTCACTCTGTTTAAGGTTTTATCTCACTCTGTTTTAGGTTTTATCTCACTCTGTAGTAAGCTTTATTTCACTCTGTTGTAGGTTTTATCTCACTCTGTAGTAAGCTTTATTTCACTCTGTTGTAGGTTTTATCTCACTCTGTAGTAAGCTTTATTTCACTCTGTTGTAGGTTTTATCTCACTCTGTTGTAGGTTTTATCTCACTCTGTTGTAGAATTTACTTCACTCTTTTGTAGGTTTTATCTAACTCAGTTGTAGATTTTACGTCACTCTGTTGTAGGTTTTATCTAACTCTAATGTAGGTTTTATCTCACTCTGTAGTAAGCTTTATCTCACTCTGTTGTAGGTTTTATCTCACTCTGTAGTAAGCTTTATTTCACTCTGTTGTAGGTTTTATCTCACTCTGTAGTAAGCTTTATTTCACTCTGTTGTAGGTTTTATCTCACTCTGTTGTAGGTTTTATCTCACTCTGTTGTAGAATTTACTTCACTCTTTTGTAGGTTTTATCAAACTCAGTTGTAGATTTAACCTCACTTTGTTGTAGAATTTACTTCACTCTTTTCTAAGTTTTATCTAACTCTGTTGTAGTTTTTACTTCACTCTGTTGTAGGTTTTATCTCACTCTGTTGTAGGTTTTATCTCACTCTGTTGTAGAATTTACTTCACTCTGTTGTAGGTTTTATCTCACTCTGTTGTAGGTTTATGTCACTCTGTTGTAGAATTTACTCCCCTCTGTTGTAGGATTTATCTAACTCTGTTGTATGTTGTAGGTTTTATCTAACTCTGTTGTAGGTTTTATCGAACTGTTGCAGGTTTTATCTAACTCAGTTGTAGGATTTATCTCACTCTGTTGTAGGTTTTATCTCACTCTATTGTAGGTTTTTTCTCACTCTGTTGTAGAATTTACCTCACTCTGTTGTAGGTTTTATCTAACTCTGTTGTAAGTTTTATCTAACTCTGTTGTAGGTTTTATCTCTGTTGTTTTATTTCACTCTGTTGTAGGTTTTATCTCACTCTGTTGTAGAATTTACTTCACTCCTTTGTAGGTTTTATCTAACTCAGTTGTAGATTTTATCTCACTCTTTTGTAGGTTTTATCTCACTTTAGGATTTACCTCACTCTGTGTTAGATTTTATCTTACTCTGTTTAAGTTTTATTTCAATCTATTGTAGGTTTAACTCACTCTGTTATAGATTTTATCTCTGTTGTAGGTTTTATCCCACTCTATTTAAGGTCTATAGGTTTTATTTCAATCTGTTGTAGGTTTATCTCACTCTTTTATAGGTTTTACTTCACTCTGTTGTAGGTTTTATTTCAATCTGTTGTAAGTTTTATCTCACTCTGTTGTAGGTTTAATCTCATCTTTTGAAGATTTATCTCACTCTGTTGTATGTTTTACTTCACTGGTAAATTGGTAACTCTGTTGTATCTCTGTTATAGGTTTTACTGGATCAAACAGATTTCTTTGTGGTAGGAGTTCTTGGACATCATTTTATCTAACTCAGTTGTAGATTTTACGTCACTCTGTTGTAGGTTTTATCTAACTCTATTGTAGGTTTTATCTCACTCTGTAGTAAGCTTTATCTCACTCTGTTGTAGGTTTTATCTCACTCTGTAGTAAGCTTTATTTCACTCTGTTGTAGGTTTTATCTCACTCTGTAGTAAGCTTTATTTCACTCTGTTGTAGGTTTTATCTCACTCTGTTGTAGGTTTTATCTCACTCTGTTGTAGAATTTACTTCACTCTTTTGTAGGTTTTATCAAACTCAGTTGTAGATTTAACCTCACTTTGTTGTAGAATTTACTTCACTCTTTTCTAAGTTTTATCTAATCTGTTGTAGTTTTTACTTCACTCTGTTGTAGGTTTTATCTCACTCTGTTGTAGGTTTTATCTCACTCTGTTGTAGAATTTACTTCACTCTGTTGTAGGTTTTATCTCACTCTGTTGTAGGTTTATGTCACTCTGTTGTAGAATTTACTTCCCTCTGTTGTAGGATTTATCTAACTCTGTTGTATGTTGTAGGTTTTATCTAACTCTGTTGTAGGTTTTATCGAACTGTTGCAGGTTTTATCTAACTCAGTTGTAGGTTTTATCTCACTCTGTTGTAGGTTTTATCTCACTCTATTGTAGGTTTTTTCTCACTCTGTTGTAGAATTTACCTCACTCTGTTGTAAGTTTTATCTAACTCTGTTGTAAGTTTTATCTAACTCTGTTGTAGGTTTTATCTCTGTTGTTTTATTTCACTCTGTTGTAGGTTTTATCTCACTCTGTTGTAGAATTTACTTCACTCCTTTGTAGGTTTTATCTAACTCAGTTGTAGATTTTATCTCACTCTTTTGTAGGTTTTATCTCACTTTAGGATTTACCTCACTCTGTGTTAGATTTTATCTTACTCTGTTTAAGTTTTATTTCAATCTATTGTAGGTTTAACTCACTCTGTTATAGATTTTATCTCTGTTGTAGGTTTTATCCCACTCTATTTAAGGTCTATAGGTTTTATTTCAATCTGTTGTAGGTTTATCTCACTCTTTTATAGGTTTTACTTCACTCTGTTGTAGGTTTTATTTCAATCTGTTGTAAGTTTTATCTCACTCTGTTGTAGGTTTAATCTCTCTTTTGAAGATTTATCTCACTCTGTTGTATGTTTTACTTCACTGGTAAATTGGTAACTCTGTTGTATCTCTGTTATAGGTTTTACTGGATCAAACAGATTTCTTTGTGGTAGGAGTTCTTGGACTTCAGGGTTCTGGAAAATCCACCATATTATCTCTGCTGGCAGGAAACAACCCCTCAGACAGTACAAGGTGATTAATTTCCAGTATAGAATAATTTCACCAATAGTCTGGAATGGGACTTATTTACAACAATGAAATGTAATTTTTATCATAGAAAACTTTTTTTTTGTTTAATGCCCCTTTCAAGAATAGCTCACCTCAACAAAGTCAGAATGAGCTTATGCAATACCCCTAGCATGGGTGTCAGCCTTAGCATCAGTGTCCCAGTTAAAGTTTGAGGAGTAAGTCCATTCCCAAGTTATAATAAGCCCTACCCCAACCAAACTTGCTTGGATGGTGCATCTAGGTATGAACACTACCAGACTAGCTTTGGATGCTAGATCTGACCTCAATTTTTCAGATGAGTGACCAGGGCAAAGTAGTCCTCTCTGAGTACCTTTAAAGATGAGAATACAATGTACTAGTTACCTTTACTTTATATGCACCTAGATATATTTTGAATGGACAATAAAATTAGAATTTTTTTCATGGGACAGGCAGTACATATTTCCACCACAAAGTAGAGACAGTAAAGAATTATGTGAACACCAGACCAGTGGGATTAATATGTTTGTGACAGGAGAGAGAACTATATTCTTAGATTCTCAGGTTTGCCATTTCTATAAATTTACATTTCATTGCCATTTTACTTGTTAGAGCAAAGGTACAAATGTGATCCAATAAAATCTGTTTCTCAGTATTGTCTAATTTTTTATTTGTTGAAAGTTGACAAATTTTTACAGGGGTAAAATAATTCCATGTATTCTATTTTGCCATCTTGATGCAAACACAGTTATTGTTTCTTTTTTTCTTCAGCCAATCATGAGCCCATCTGTTCTTGACAAAATGATTCGACAAGAGAAAAAGATCCCTCCAGAGTACAGCACTGCTGAAAACTGTGTGGAAATGCAGGTGACTGAGCAAAGCACTCATCTTTACAGTTTAAACTCTGTCTTGATTCTGAATGTTAAGGTCGTACGGGTACAGGACTGACCTATAAAAGGAAAACAACTCTCTGTGTGAATGGAGATAATTTTTAAATGCAACAAATGCACTGCTTCTCCTTTTCAATTACATGTATAATGTCTTGGGTAATGATTTGTATAAAATTTTACCCTGTGTATATGTACTAAATAGCTATCGTTGTTTTCATTTCAGTCCCTGCACCAAGCAGCATTCATGATGTCAGTGTGTCACATTATCTTAGTTGTTCAAGATTGGTTCACAGATATCAACCTTATCAGGTGAGTGGTTCACAGATATCAACCTTATCAGGTGAGTAGTTCAAGACTGGTACAAGATATTAATCTTATCAAGTCGGTTGTTAAGGGCTGGTCCATTTTGCAGATATTGATCTAATCAGGTGAGTTGTTTATTGCTGTCTGTTGCAAAGTTTCAAATCCAAGTGCTGCCTTTCCTTTGTTATATGTACAGACCAGTAGAGCTACAGTCTCAGCAGAGACTTCTGGTTTCTTTTTATTCATTACAATTGTCTGTTTGACAGATTTCTACAGACAGCTGAGATGTTGAAGCCCTCCACCCCCTCCTCCAGTCACGATAGCTCATCAGGATCTGAGGACACTAATGATTACTACCCAAGAATCGGTTGGTTTATGTGAAAACATTTGAAGATATTGTAGTCACCTGAACTACTCCAGACACAATCATGAGTCTCAAATACAAGTCCTTTTTGCATATGTTCAGTTTTTTCAATCAAAATTACAAAAATTCAAAATCACAAACTTCTAGGTACAGATTAAATTTTTAGGTCACCTGAGTTTACTCATGTGAACTCTTTGGTTCCACTGAACCAATTTCAATTTTGACAAATATCATTTATTGGTGAAGGAATGTGAAAATTGTTAAATTAAATTTTTGGCTCCCTTCACGGAGGCCTGATGGGTGGGGTTAAAAGCATATTGTAGAAATATTCTTCTTTACTCCCAAACATCAAGAAAGGAAACTGTTGGCAGGACTGTAATAACCATTGAGCCCTCTACCAAAATTGTGTAATTCATAGCTTCAGGGTCAGGTGTTCTAGTGCTAGGGTGGGGCTCTGTTGAATATATAGTGAAAATGAATTATTTCTTTTCAAAAATCTTTTTTCTCTTTTCCAGGGAGTTAAACAAACTATGTGTAAATGCATAGTTGATGAGGAAGGGTGCCTCCTTCAAATTATGAATTCCATGGCCCCTCGGACAGGGGTTCTGGTGTTTGGGTGGGGATCTTATCATTAAAAAGTGAAAATGCTTTAATTCTTTGAAAATCTCCTCATGGGTATGAAGCCAATGAGCTGGGTGCATGATAATGATGAGCAAGAGTGCCTCATCCAAAATGTGAATGTCATGGCTCCTGGGTCTGGGATTCTGGTGTTAGAGCAGGGCAGTAATGATTACTAAGTGAAAATTAATTTTTATTCTTTTGAAAAATCTCTTCTCTTAGGAAGTAAGCTGACGATCAAAGTGCAAGGTTACGATTAGCAAGGGTGCCTTTTCCAAAATTACAAAATTCAGGGTCAAGCGTTCTGGTGCTATGGTGGGGCTCTGTTGATTATATAGTGAAAATGCACTATGTCTTTCAAACATTTTATCTGCTCCTGAGTATTAAAGGAACAAATTGAATGCATAGTTATGATGAGCAAGCATGACTTTTTAAAAATTATGAAATATGTGGCTCCAGTGCCATGGGTTCCTGTGAGGTGGTGATACTACTGTAATATAGTGAAAATGCATTATTTCTTTGATCCGTTGCTCTGCCTCTGGGAATTAAGCAGTCAAACCAAGTGTATAGTTATGATGAGCGATGCTGCCTCTTTCAAACTTTAATTTCAGGTTGAAAATGTTCATTTGAAACATGAAATTTTTAAATGTTATTCTGTCTTGTTTAACTGGTTCATTTTTTCAGTTTTCTGATGCAAAGTAATTTTAATGTTCCAGAAGTCAGTTATTTTATGATTTTAGAAATAAACTAAAGAATTACATTCACTTTGTGGTTAATCGAATAATTTTTATCATTTGTAGTGTTTGTGAAAATGCATTATTTCTTTGATCCGTTGCTCTGTCTCTGGGAATTAAGCAGTCAAACCAAGCGTATAGTTATGATGAGCGATGCTGCCTCTTTCAACCTTTGATTTCATGGCCTCTGGTTGAAAACTTTCACAAAAGTTGATACATGATACTTGTTTGACCAATAAAGCCTGTGGGCCTCTTGTTTATAATTGAAATTCAAAACTTTTTTTCTTTGGTTTTCTGATGCAAAGAAATTTTAATGTTTAAGAAGTCAATTATTTCATGATTTTAAAAATAAACTTAAGAATTACATACACTCTGTGATTTAATCAAATAAGTTTTACTATTTATAGTGTTCGTGCAGAACAAATGCACCAGAGATCATTTCAGCAGAGAAACACACCAGGCTATGCAAACAACACTCTCCAAGATGCTGGAGACCTCAAAGCTCAAATTAAAAGGTACCAATGGTATCAATTTCTAACGATCCAGTTGAAGTTATCTCCCTTGGTTTCACTTTCCTTGCTTTGTTAATGTTTTGCAGGGGAAGTGTCTATGGCAAGTGGAAACCTGTTGTCAGGGTTACCGAAACATCAGCCAACCGACATCAACTTGTATCTGTTTCCAAATATGGAAAATAAGAAAGAATCTCATGGTAAGTGATACTGTAAACCAACTTTTATTCGCGTGCAAGAAATTTTCGCGAGGTTCGCAAGAACATTGTCATCGCGAATATTTCTCGCCGCGAACTGGTCCCTAAAGTCTCTTTTTCTATCAAAAATAGTTCCAGAAAGACTTGATCGCGAAAATTACTCGTTGTGAACTAGTTTACTCCCGATAAATCGCGAAATAAAGTCGTCGCGAATAAAGTTGGTTTACAGTAATCAAATATCATCTGGCTGCATACATGTTAGCAAGGTTGGTTAAAAAGTAGATTTAAACTATCAGAAGTAGATATTGAAGAAATGTGGAAATATTACATCAACAGTATTTTTTTAATGCAGATTCTATTCACTTTCTTTGCAATCATTTTTAGATTGCAAGTAACATAATCTCCCAGCAAACTGTGTCAATTTAGCATCATAAATATTACATAGATAATCTCTTCAACCATATGGGACAATGTAAATAAAAATGTATAGTATTTGAAAGCAATTTTTCTAAAAATTGTGGCCCAATGGTCGGGTTCTGTAGTTTAATGAACATATGGTGAAATGCATAAATTCTTTCCTCTTCTCTCCACAGTATAATAAGCCTGTTAATGTAGGTACAGAGGCTACCCTAGTTTACCACACTGGTTATAGCGAAGTTATCTTGGAAACATATAAATTTAACAGATTCCATGCCGGATATAACGAATTACGGACACAACATTGTCAGAGAAAACTTTGTTATAACCCAGTTTTACTGTGTCTGATTATAATGAGCAAGGTTGCCTCTTCTTACCATTTAAGATAAGCTGTGGCCCGACAGTCAGGAATTCTCAATTAGGGTAGGGTTGAAATGAGCATTTAGTGAACTCTATAAATACCTTGAACATTTTCCTTCTCCTGGATATTAAGCAAACTAAGTGCAAAGCCATGATAAGCAAATGTTTCTCTTCAAAATTGAGAACACAAGAGAGACCAATGTGAGAGGGAATGCAATTGGTATTCTATTAGTGCTGAAGCAGTTTTGTTAGTCAGAATGGTGATAGAAACAAATGGGAGAATGTACTGATAAAAACAAATACGTAGATATGCTATTACATATGTTACTGAATAATACATTAATTATTTTGCTGTTCCTTGGTCATCTGATTTATTTTGATTCTGGGCGACATAGCTTTATCATCTATCACTTTTTCTCATGTTCACTTCAACTAAGTTGGGGGAGCTTATGTGATACCCTCTGCATTGGTGTCAGTGTCCCAGGTTAATGTTTTAGATGCAGTTTTCCTTCTAAGTACTTCTTTGCCCAACATTAATCAGAAATGCATGGAAGATGCTTTCCTTGTGTTTCCTTGTATCAGCCAAGTTTTCAAATGCTGCAATTTCAGCAATAGTATGGCCAGGATAATGTGTTAGAGCAGGTTAAGGTTTTTGAGCAGATCCTTTTTCCAAATACATGTAACTGTAAGCCCTATGTTTACCAAACTTGAATGGATGATACATCTAATGATGCCCACTGCCAGACTTGCTTCGGATGCTGGATCTGACCTTCATTTTCTGAACAAGTGACCAGGTGATAGTTTTTGGAGCAGATTCATTCAAAAGTAACTATAAACCCTATGTCGGCCAACCTGGCATGGATCATCTTAGGCTGCATGCTACCATGCTTGCTGTGGATGCTAGATCTGACCTACTTTTTCTGGACAAATTCTAAAATAACTATAAACCCTACGCTGACCAAACTTGCATGGATGATACGTCCAAGGATAAACACTACTAGGCTGTTCGGATGTTGGATCTGACCTATGTTTCATGGTAGAGTGTCCAGGTTAAAGTTTTGTTGACCAGACTTGAATAGGTAATACATCTAAGGATGCACTCTACTAAACTTGCTTTTAATGTTGGATCCAACCTATATTTTCTGGATGAGGGAACAGGTTAAAGTGTTTGGAGCTTGTTCATTCTAAAGTAAATATTTGCTGTATCTTGACCAAACTTGAATCGATGATACATCATGATCTAAGGATGCCTACTACTAAACTTGCTTTAGATGCTGGATTCTCAAGAAGTTTCTTTTCATTACGAAACAATAAAGCTTATCTGAACTTCACTTGCATGGGTGATGCATCAAGGGATAAACACTAACATCAGATGCTGGATTTGAATGAATTTTCTGAATGAGTGAGTTTGAGGCGAGTTTGAGTTTGAAGCTTCTGGATAAGTTCATTCCCAAGTAACTGCTAGTCCTATCTGATCAAGATTGCTTAAATGTTGCATCTTGAGATGTGCATAACCAGATTATTAGTTTAATATGGAACTTTTCCTTACTTCAAGGCAAAATTTGTAAGCTTTGTAAACTTTGAGTACCTAGTTATACTGTGGATCCTTTGTATTATACTCGGGCAACCATTAAGGCCCTTGGGCCTCCAGCTTTTTGTTCATTATTTTATCCAGGCTTTTTAATCTTTGCTGAGGCTTTCTGTCATTCTCGGCTTTTGTAGGTTTCATTATGCAGCAAGAACATTTGAGGCTGTAAAGAAATCACAACTGATGGCTGAATACAACAGACTTCTGCACTGAAAAAAGACCATCCAGCCCACTTAGAAAAACATGTCCAATTGTTTGATACCAACAGTGTTGCAGTTATAGTACAGCCATGACTTGCTATCAGGCAGAAGATAGTTAGATGAGAATTCTGTAGAATCATAAGTCAGAGAGAGTGTCAGGGCCAAGTTGCTGTCTTCAGTAAAATGGTGCTTTGGACAAAAAATTCTGAATAACAATAGAAACCATCCTGACTAGAGGATTTCCTTTCGACAAGTGTATATGTCGTAAAATTTTTTCTTTTCTCCATGTTTTCCACTTGAATGTACGTTTTCAACTTGACAGTATAATATTGCTGTTTGCCTCCTTTATAAAATATAAAACACAGCAACAACAAAAATAGATGTTTTATGTTTATTGGAAAAAATCATGCAAGTATTTACAATGTTCCAAATACCGTAAAGCATTCTCACAATGCAAAAAAGGAAAAAAACAAACAACACGTAATACCGGTAAATCATGATTAAGAAATAAACACAATCAAAAATAAAAATAAATAGAAAATCTAAAATAAAGAAACAAAACAAATGTAAATCTTTTAAACATTAATCTGGGAAAAAAAATAAGGTTACCGGTAAGCAAAACTATAATCTGAACTATTTACAGTGATAAAATGTGAACTATGTACAAATATATACAAAGGTATAGCAGCACTTACCTGTGTGACGATCTATAAACCCAGAAAAAGTAAAATCCCAACCCAAACATCTTACATCAGACATACAGTCACACAGGTAAAAGTTCCTACACCGGCGCCCAGCTCATAAGGTCCAGGCCGCGAACATCTGCTCCAGGGATTGCATCTCAATCTCCATCGGTGAAAACTACAATAAAGAATTATAATTTAACAAGTTTTATACATACACATACATATATATTCCAAAAGGTTTTTTTTTTTTTAAATTCTTTAAATGTATGACTAAAATCAAAAATATGTTTACCAAAGCAGTCTTTTGTCTCTTTGAGGGAACACAAGTACCACTGGGCCTCTTCCGCTTCCGGGTGGACTGGTTCTAGAATATGAAAAATAAAAAAATTATTGTTGCATTATAATACAGACACATATACCTCAAACAGTTACTTAATGTACTCTAGACTGAAGTACTTTTAAAAATTCCGCGTGGTATTAATTTACACTCACTATGTACGCAGTCACAAATTTTTTGCGGAAATTTATCCAGTCATACTTAGTACAAATGTAAGGCACATAGAGACAATCTAGAAAATCCGTAATTTTCCGAAATCCGAAAATCTGTAATTTTCTACCTGTGGATTAAACAGAAATCGAGATTCCGCGGAATTTATGACCCCGTGGAAAAAAGTATGTCTACAGTATTTGTATTGAAGTAGGATTTTATCCAGTACCTCAACCCCTGTCTGCTTTTTCTCTGTGCAGCATGGAGAGGGAGAACGCAGGTCACTGGTCTTCTGGCTAGCACCACCGCGACTGTCCCCATCTGTCTGGTCCTCACTCTGTATGCCATCAGTCAGCTGAACAGGAAGACATTTTGTTATAATGATCATTTGACATATAACTTTTTTTTCATTTCTTTTTCAGACCTTTCTTGCCTGCCTAAAGGCAGCTATGATTGTCATTTCTAATTATTTTTTGTAGGGATGTCAAATCGGTCAATTTTTGATACTCGGTTACTCGGACCCTCAGCCTTAGCAAAAGTGTAACAACAAGTTAATTGATAACACAACATTTTAAACTGTTGTATGCATGGATATTAAATGCGTTGTAACAATTATGACCACTTTGTAACCGACGAAATTTATTCTAACATTTTTTTAAGTTCAATTTATTTATCAGATAAATACGAAAAATAAAATCAGAAATGGTTCTTTTTTGTTTACGTCTGCCGTAATATGTAATGTAACCTTTGATGTAGCTTTGATGTCAACAAAGTTGTCAGACGAGCTATATGTACGGTTAAACTTGCAAATCCTATAACAGAGCTTTATACGATAAAAGACTCTTTTATCCACAATAAAATTAGGTCGGTAAATCTTTAGTTTAAGCAACGATGGACATAAGATTTTTAAAGCTTTGCATTAATTGTGTAATCAAATGCAAAATCATCGCACGATTTTTTTTTTTTTTTACGCTTCTTGAGAATTGATTATAATTTGTTTAAATATAATGACATTCATGTTCAATGAAAACAAATAATTAAAGCAAACTAAATGTAAGGGAAAACGACAGTCGAAGGTGAGAAAAGCCCGGGTAGGTACATCAGGTGTTTGGTCACGATAATTACAGTATAAACACTGCCACAGGCGATAAAGGTCATTTAGAGGCATAGGAAACCCTAATTACTGTATGTACAAGTGTAATCTAAAAACGTAGTGGACGTCCGACCAAATATTTTAGTCCCTACGACATCTCGCTGAGATTAGTACAAGTGCAGTGAACATTTTATATAATAACCGATGTTTTAATGACATATAAGCTTTTTTAAAAATATACATCCGAGTTCCGATTTTAGTATTCAGACCTTTCGTTGCCTGCCTTAACCGGGTATGATTGTCATTTCTAATTGGTTTTTGTTTTAAATTAGATAAAAAATTGATTTTTACACAATTCAAACACATCAATACCTGAAGCTTTTGTTAAATCAAAAGCTTTTCTTAAATTTTGGTTGATTCATTCAGAGGAGAAACTGAAAATTACACCAACCCTGACAGTGATGGTCTTTAGCTCATCAGAGGGAGGGAGGGGAGGAACATCAGAAGCCGCAGGTGGGGAGGGTGCTCCATCATCAAGGGGGACATCAGTGGCTGAAGAGGATCCAGCAGTAACAGTCTCCTGTCCCTTAGAGTCAGTGGAAGAGGATACAGTCTCCTGGGAAGAGGGTACCAAAGTGGGATCCTGTGTAAAGAAAGATGATCACTATTAAGTTCTTAAAACCGATGATAATGATTAATGTATGTTGAAAGATACACTGGTATATCAATGATTGAAAATATGATAGAAGATACATACTTGAGCTTCATCGACAGCATGAGTCTCTGGCTCTGGTGTGGGCTATGAAAAGGAAATTGGAAAAGGAATTATAAATACTAGGCCACAACTTAAACAAATTTACTTTGGAGGGTATTTCCCAAGTACAGATAATTATTTTTTAAACTAATAATGATCAAAGCTGGATTAAAAAAAATAACCGCCTGCCCTCTTAATAAAAAAAGAAAGTGTAAAAGACTGTTCAATTCAAAGGTGACATTGACTATAGAATATCAACCTGTACTGTATAAGTATGGTATTTACAATTTTCATGTGTTACATATTTGTACATTACATTTAACAGCCCTATAATCAGTGATGAAAAAATAATTTACCTTTTGACATTTTACCCATAATTCCACACAACTGCCTGACCGCAATTTCTCTCTGATCCATAGATACTGGTACAGGAGAAGTCCACGACGGCAGTTCAACTCGGTTTATGCTTTGTTTTGGTTTTTATTTTATTTAAGGTGTGGAAAATTTTCTATCTTTAAAAAACTTGTAATATATCATTAATTTCAACACCCCCCTCCCCCCTCCATCTTGCAACTAAAATTATAGTTTAAGAAATTTGACAGAATTTTATAATCATATTTAGGGAGGAGAATTGTAAGAGTGCCATGTTTACCTTTCTCACCCACACCATGTCCCTCCTCCATACTCTGTTTCTCCTCCAGTACTTCTTCAGAAACGGGGGTGGCTCATGCTACAAAACAAGTCATATTGTTAAAATGCTATATAGTATTATCAAGTAATATAACAAAAAGATTGAAAAAGATTTCATTTGTGAGGTTTTTGTGCTAGTAACTACTTGATGTTAAATCATCAGATATCAAGGTTTTCCGTCATAGCCTGTAAATGATTATAAAAAATACAAGACAACCTTAAGGCCATCATTCAATGTATACCTGTTTGGGTACTGGGACCGGTGGTGTCTTTGTGGGGTGGTCCCTGTGTACCGGGGTAGGAGGTGGCACTGCCTGCTGCTGGGTCTGCTCCTATGATACAACATGTTTATTTTAATAAGTGACCATTTATACCTCATACATGCATGTACTTAATGTGTTTAATTGATTCATTAATTAATTATTTTTAATTGTCCTGTAATAATCCATAGATTAATGCAATTCCTCTCTTAGACTATTGTTTTCAGATACTTTTTTTCAAGTTAGAATTAACTTGTATATTTTTTCTTTTTAAAATTACCCCCCCCCCCTTTAAATAAATTAGAAACTTACCTCTCGTATCCACTTCTTGTCTTTTTGCCACACACGGTTGTATGTCCAGTGTCTCTTCTTCTTGTTAGGAACGACCTACAAAACAAAGGGAATCAGTGTTGCACCTCTACACATTAATACCATTATACAGCATGCATAAAATAATTACATTAAAGAATCAGGGGCAGTAAGACCCTAAATATGCCCCAAACCATATTGGACAAATTGTTATTAAAAGAATTATATATATATAAATTCAGTCTATTTCTGCACCCTACCTTGTCAGACACCAGAGTTGGTGGTGATCTGGTCTCCGACGAAACCTCGCCTGGCTCAGCTGACTTCTGAAATAAAAGTGTATATAAATTAAAATTAAGTCATATGTATTTGATCTATCTACCCTTCCCTGTTTAATCAACAATACTGTAGAAAATGAAGGGGAAATGATATTTTAGTAATGAATTATCATTTAACACACCTGTGATACTGGTGGCTTCTGAGGGTACGTCAGTCCCTACAATAAACAAGAAAAACAATTAGGTATTTATATTAATTTTAAAAGTTTTAATAAAATATGAAATCAGAATAATCCTGATAATAATACAGAATACGCATTGACCTCTCTGATCCATTTCTGGTCACGTCTCCACACTCTGTTGTATGGACGCCACCGTCTCTTCTTGGGTACAGCCTACAAAGTAATTTAAAATATAGTATAGGTTTATGAAGTACTTTTTTACTTTTATTAGATAAGTATTCTATTACAGAACATTTGATAATCAATATATTTTCATGAATTGGTTTAGTTTATATTTTTTTTCTTAGGTAATAATACAATGTACAAAATAAATGACTGATAAAATATCATAATTATACAAAGAAAAATTACAAAAATACACATGAATTCAGTTTTATAATTTATATTCTGTACTTTACAATATACCTCGACAGGCGAGTTTCCAACTCCTGATGTGGTCCCAGCCGGGTTATCACATGTCTGAAATATTATACAGGTATAATAATAATACATGTAATATATTTGATATACATGTAATATCACATAATATTGAATATATGTTATATATTGAACACACCTGTATATATCATGTATTTTCAATTTTTTAAATCTAATTTTTTGGGATATGTCAGTCCCTACAATAAAAAAGAAAAAACAACAATTAAATATTCATATTAATTTTCAAAGTTTCAATCAGTCTATGAAATCAGAATAATTATAAAATAATACTGAATTGACCTCTCTGGTCCATTTCTGGTCGCGTCTCCACACTCTGTTATATGGACGCCACCGTCTCTTCTTGGGTACAGCCTACAAAGTAAATATGAAAGTTTTTACATCTAATAAATATAAGCACACTGGAAATGAACATTTGATAATGAATATATTTTCATGAATTTTGTATAGTTCATATTTTTTCTTAAATAATTGAAAAAATATCAGTATACAAAGGAAAATTAAAATACACCAGAATTTAAAAAATTAAAAATTGAGAATTATTCAGTTTTGTAAATGTTATATATTCTGTACTTTACAATATACCTGGTCAGGCGAGTTACTTCCTCCTGGTGTGGTCCCATCTGGGTTATCACATGTCTGAAATATATTAATATTTTACATATATTTATACATGTTATTACAGTAATATTTGATAAATACTGGTAATGTACAAATTATATATTCGTTAAATTCAAAATATATTATCATGAACTTGCTATTTTTTTTAATCTTAACATTTTTGGGGATAAAGAACATATGGATAATGTGAAAATGACTAGACCTCAGTGACTGACTACCAATCAACAGAATCAACACACCTGTCTGGGCTCTGGTGCCACCTGTTTCTGGGGTCCAGAAGAGACCAGTCCCTGAAATAAAAAATAATTTCAATTAATGGCTCATATTCATCCAGGAAAAAAGTTTTAATCAGTTTAAATACCAAACCTCCATAAAAATGAGAATATTTTCCATACATTCATATTATGGCATTCAAATGCTGCTACATTCGACCTTTTCCATTTGTTTTGTATAATTTTTATTTGCATTCTATAATTTTCCAATTGCACTGTAAAAATTTTCATTTGTACTGTATATTTTTTATTAATTTTGTGTTCTGTTTTTTTTTTTTTTTTTTTTTTTGTATTCGATAATTTAATTTTTCACTCGTATTGTATTTGATAAACAAACTCTCCCAACAAAGAATTGTTGCACATATTTTTTAAATAATCTTGACATTCATCCCCCCCAAAAAAGGAAAAAGAAAGGGATGTCGTTGTCAATAGCATAAAATGTTTTTTGCTGCCTTTAATTAAGAAATAAGGTATTTTTATTGAAAAAAAATCATTTTCCCATAAAGCCCGATGGGCTTTATGGAAGATTTGATAATGGACTTACATCATAAAACTGAAAAAATGATACCTTATTACTTATATTTACATTTGTGATTATTACTTTATTTTTGCCTGATTGTTACTTTTAACGTGTGAAATGCGTTAATTTTTCAAAAACGGCATGTATGTAAACTAAACGCAACGTCACAGAGATATTATTTTTATCACAAAATAAATCTACATATGACATTACCCCCATCCTGTATTTACTAAGAAATAAGCATCATTTTTTGCTTGTAAAACGGGTTGGTAAACTTTGCAAATCCCATAAAGCCCGAAGGGCTTTATGGAAATTTGATCATGTGTCAACCCGTTTTACATCTAACAAAACTCAAAAAATGAATACCTTATTACTTATATTTACATTTGTGACTTATTCATACTTTATATTTGTCTGATTGTTACTTTTACCGTGTGAAATGCGTTAATTTTTCAAACCCAACGGCATGTATGTAATCTACTAAACGACTCTACGACCCTTTATGACGTCACAGAAAAATTACGTGGAACGTTTATCCAAACGCACATCTATGACCTCTTGACCCCAAACCTGTATTTACACAGTTATAAAAACGCTTGCCTTCAGTAGTGTTATGTAAAGGAAAACATTTGCAAATGTAAATATACAGTTATAAAAACGCTTGCCTTCAGTAGTGTTATATAAAGGAAAACATTTGCAAATGTAAATATAAAATCTTATCAATTTCTTTATTTCTGGGACTTCTTCTTTTAAGGGAAGTGTAATGTGTCTGATTCTTCAGTTGTTATAATAATAAATTATTAGAGTATTTAAACATCTCTACATCTACACCCAGAGATGTATAGGCTTATTTAATACTAGCATGATCCTTGGTTACAATATCATAAAGCCCAGATGCATATATACACCAAGAATGTTACAAATCAAATTATATGCATGAAGGGGAAAAAAGAAAGGAAAAGCATATAAATGTACATTTTTATTAGGATAAATTGAGAATAAAGGTATTTCATTGCGTGAAAGGATGAATGCTGTCATGGAGGCATCTCTCTATTTTTAAAATTAATTTTAAAATAAAATCAACAGCGATTAGTTTTTTACTACATAAAATAAACGGCATGAGGCAATACCCTCTTATCTTTGATTTTGTACACTTTCTGCTCCATTTCTTTGCTCAGTAAGGTCAACTTTGCAGAAAATGGGGAGAGAAAATAAAAGCGTCCGCTCTGTTCAACAAATGTCGTGGTTATGAGACGTAACCACAACACAACGCAAGCTTACTAGAAACGTGATGTCACAATCGTAATGACGTAAGCCAATGAAAACTCACGTTAGAAAGGATTGCAAGTTAGCAAGAGGCAATTTCACCCCCCTCCTTTTTTTTTTATTTGTGAAGTGATATTTTTAATACCGATATTGCATTTGTATGAATATGTCTATTTTTTATTATTCACCAAAGGGAAACAGATTGTTTGAAGACAAAGGTGGATTTTTTTCTCAAAAATATATATAGATTTTTTAACGTAATCAATAATTAGACGATTACTTCAACCTTCGTTTCAAGCCACGGCTTGGAGTTGTTCTGTCCTAGAATGGGAGAAGATCGTACATTTTGGCCGTACGTGGTTTACGACGATGTTCTTCAACAGATTTTTCTTAATAACGAATATTATATATTTTTTTAAGCTTTGTGTATCGACATGCTTAGGCCTATATTCCGTATGTTTTACCAGAAATCGAAGAGAAATTCCCCCCATGAAATTCACTTTTATCACAAACATATACGTTTCAAATGTTAAATATCTGGTCAATATACCCATGCTATTTCACTTTTATTCATTGCAGAAAAATACCGGTAATTTAATAAATATAGATAAATTAATTATTAATTAATACCTGGTCAATGCATAAATAAAATAGTCACTTTTTTCAGTGCAAAAAAGAAGTAAAACAAATCTGGAAAAATTTTGTCACAGGGACGATTTTGGTTTTTACAGAAAATAATTTGTTTCCATTTAGTAAAGTTAAAGCATTTTATACTGTACCTTGTCAGGCACCAGGAGCCGTGAACCTCTGGTTCCTGACGAGTCTTGGTCATCAGTCTTCTAAAAAATAAATAAAAAGAACATGTACATCAAATTGAGTTTTTACATGGGAATCGAAATCCTCACGACCTTGGTTATTACATGTAATTTTGTTATATGATATAATATAATATTTTCATAAAAGAAACAACTTTGTAGTAGTTGTGATTGTTTTTTTAACACATAGAGTCGGGTGTTTATTATAAATATATGTATGTTACAATTAAGAGACACAACTTCCTTGATTTTGTAAACCCCCCCCCTTTCCCCTAAATCATAATTATATATAGAAGCATAATATAGATTGTCTCTTTGAAACATTTTAAATGACCCAGTAATAAAATATCAGTACTCCCCCCTTTCGACGCTATCACTAGCTTTGTTTACTTGATATGTTATCATTTAGCTATGCCCCCCACCCATCCCCCACCCCCACTGAAAAACTAATACCGGATGTCGTTGTCAATAGCGACGTTATGGATAATGTAGAGCTAGGTAAATAATTTGGATACCCTTTACAGTTCCTAAAAATGTTACTTTTTTAATAAAGGAAGTATGACTATCGCATATATAATTTTTTTTAAATAAATTATCAGATTAACCTTCTTTTTATTTACATAGTTATACTAGAGTATGACTTCAACAATATGCGTGTACGTGTTTAAACTATATCATAAAATCAATATATGTACCAAGAACGACAAATATACAAATCGTCAGGAATACTTGATAGGGGAAAAATAAAAGAAATGCACATTCGTGTAAATGTACTTTTATTTTAAAGAATGAATAAAAAGTAAACCATTAATTGAGAAATGGACGGATGTTTGAGAGAATGGATGTTTTAAAATATGACAAGTAACCCACAGGTCCGTTTTTGAAAGTAAATTACAAATTAAAATCAACAGCGATGATTTTCACTAAACAAAATAGACGACATGAGGCATTACCCTCTTATCTTTGATTCTGTGCACTTTTAGCTCCATTTTCTTGGCTTGGTAAGGTAAACTTTGCAGAAAATTGCGAGAGAAAATAATTTAAGCGTCCGCTCTGTTCAACAAATACCGTGGTTATGAGACGTAACCACAACACAACGCAAGCTTACTAGAAACGTGATGTCATAATCGTAATGACGAAAGCCAGTGAAAACTCACGTTAGAAAGGATTGCAAGTAACAAAAGAGGCAGTTTTTAGCGTCGGAAGCTAATTGAAAGAAGTGGATGGGTGGGGGGCTAAGTGACAGAGATAAAAATTAACGAGGCCCAATCTAGTTGGAAATTACGAAAACGATATGATAAAAAATTTCAATTCTTAGAAATATATTTGTATGTATTATGCCAAAAAAAATTAGAGTGAAATTTTGTTACCTTGCCTTCATTGTAGTTAAATGGGGGCATTTTCAAGATATGGACCACTTTTCGTGTTTTTATACACAATTACATACTAAAACTCCAATAAAAACAAAGTAATTGACAAATAAAAAAAAATTAAATGATGAAATGTTTTGTTTTTCACATATATTATGCGATTTTCATTCCTCTTTTAAAAAATGAAAAGAAAATCTGAGGTAGCCTTTATTGCAGTGAAAAGGGAACATATCAAAACAGAAAAATAGGACTTCTTTTATCCAACTAGATATTTATATAAGACGCAATGGGTTTAAATAACATCAAAAAACGATTGTAATACTGTATTAGTTTCTAAAAATTAAACAATTCTTACATAATGAAATAATTTTCTCTCCATGCTTTACTTTTTTTTCTGAACATTTTTAACACACGACGTTGTTTTATGTGGAAAACGGGGGGACGGGGGGGGGTTAAAAAGGCGACAAAAAATTAACAAACTTACTAATATCGTGTATTATATAGACAAATAAAATATTTTGGTGGTAGCATTTGAATGATTCAGAGACTTTTTTTAAACTCAAGCTGATCCATGTGCATGTTTAAGTCCGCAGTAAAAAGGGATGTGTATAAACTCTTCAACATGTTCAAGGAGAAAGACGAAAATCGTTTACTTTTGGTTGCAGTGTTTGTTTTCTAATTCACTAATTGAAATAAAACAAGATAAAATTAATGAATTTGTACCAAGGAATTTATACCTCAAAATAAATTATGTTCTACAAGTGATTATCAATTAAAAAAAAATTAAAACATGTAAATAATAGAAATGCCAGAATGAGCCAGCTTTCAATATGCACAGTCTATAGAGCTTCCAGGAATGCAAGATCAGCGAAACATTTTAGCACAATTTGACGTCATTTTAATTGTGACGTTATTTTATTATATACCCATCAATTTCCTTGTTTTTGTTACTGTTAATTTTACAGAGTTTGATCCGATTTTCCGGATCACCAGAACTGTAGCTCTGTGCTTTAAAAACTCGGACAGATAAAGCAGAGGGCTACAGATCCAAGCATTGTAAAATCCTTCAATTTACACTGTCACTTTCTTTAAGTTGGGTCATCCTTAAAAAAGTGTTTGTTTGGAATTGCTGCCTGAAGGGTTTCAGACACAGGAGGGAGGGAGGGAGGGAAATTGTTTTTTTTTAAATGAAGATAAATTTTAAATTTTTGATAAAAATCTCAGTAAACAGTAAATATATAATAAAAAATTGACAAGCAAAAAAAAAAAAAAGAGGGAAAGTTGTGTCCATATTGTCCATTCTCGAAAATCCTATTTCGTGGGGAGGGGGGAGGGGGTAGAACTTCGATCAATACCAAATTGTTTTCAAAACGCTACCACTTATCCTTTCTTTAAACCTAAACTATAACGTACCTGTTGAAAAGGGGGGGGGGGCTAAACTTACGCCCCAATGTTCAATGCCTACTTTATGTATTATCTTTGCAAAAATACACCTCCGGTTCCGACGCCTACATGTATGTATTAAAATATTTTTATACCGATTAATGAATACGTCTATTTTTTTATTATTATTTTACCAAAAAAGAAATATATGTTATAATAAACTACTACTAATAATAATAATAAAAACAATTTTTTTTTAAACAAAAGTGATTCTTACTTCAATAAAATTTTCTTGAAAACTAATACTAGTTCTATTGAAAGTTTGTGAATCGAAACGCTTACATTGTGCATATATTACCAGAAATCGATTTAATAGTGTGATTTTTTTTTTATTGAAAGTCTTTTCTAACAAATATATATTTCAAACTGTTAAATGAATGGTCAAAATACTCATACGTGTACATATATTATCCGTTATCTCCATTTCCTTCTTTAAAATGTATCCATCGCATAAAAATAATTCAGAGAATAGATAATTAATAAATAAATAAATAAAATAAAGTAGAAATAAATCGGGGGAAATTTCTCCCAAGGACAATTTGGGTTTCTACAGAAAATAATTTGTGTTTCCATTTAGTAAAGTTAGAGCATTTATACAGTACCTTATCAGGCACCAAGAGTTGTGAACCTCTTGTTCCTAACGAGTCTGGATCATCAATCTTCTAAAATATAAAGAAAAAGAACATTTACACTAATAGAGTTTTGACATAGAAGGTAATCCTAACGACCTTGGTTGTAAATGTTGTTTTATCAGATAATATACTATTTTTGATAAAAGAAACAAAGTTTTCTGAGTGTAGTTGTGATTGTTTTTAATAGAGTCGGGTGTTTACTATAAATTATGTTCCATAAATTACACGCAACAGATCAATGTCAGTAATTAGCATAATTATTTTGTAACAACACCCCGCCCCCTAACCCCCCCCCCCCCCCGCCCCTTAAATCGTATATAGCAGCATAATATGAATTGTCCTTTAAAACATTTGAACTGCATCTATGATAAAATATCGGTAACCCCCCCCCCCTCCGACTCAATCACTAGCTTTGTTTATTTGATCCGTCGTCACTTAACTATGCCCGGCTCACCACTACTCCCCCATCCCACTGAAAAACTAATGCCGGTGTCGCATAATATTTGGTCCGCCTCGTTTAAAGGTCCGGCCGGACCTAATACGATAACATATTAGGTCCGCCTTTTATAAGAAAAGGTCCGGCCCGTATAAGAAAAGGTCCCCCTACGTTTTAAGGTCCGGGTGGTGCAAAATTATGGAACGCCATCACTGCCTTATAGCATACAACTATGCATTTATTACGTCCATTTATCATTACGTGATGTGAACATATCTTTACGTTATGTCCATTTTTTATGGGATGATGAAAATATATCTTAACATCATGTCAATGCTGCATTACATGAAGTAAATGCATCCTTTCATTATGTCAGCACTTCATAACTTGAAGTAAAAAATTCATTATGTGAAGTGATAATGTGTTTACATTGTGTTAAAACTTTATTACGTGAAATGAATGTTTATTTACATCATTTCATTTCTTTAATATGTGAGGTCAAAATTGCAATACGTCAAGTAAATTATGTTTTATAATTAAACTTATCATCACATGAAGTCAAAAGCCCATTCCTTTTTGAGAGTGTATATTTCTATTATATCAAAGTATTATTACGTGATATGGATTTATCTTTATTTTACGGCGAGGGCGGGGAGGGCATCATGATGTGAGGTGAACACATCTTACCTTTATGTCAGTGCTTTATTACGTGGTGTAAAAAGTGTATAACATAATGTGAACATACCTTTATATCATATCAACACTTTATTACATTATGTCAAAACTCCATACCGTGATGTGGATATATTATAACGTTATGCCAACTCTTTCTTATGTGATTTAAAAATATCTTTATGTTGTGTTAACTCTTTATCATGTGGATTCCAAGTTCATTACCTGATGCAAAAATACATTTACATTATCTCAAAGCTGTATATCTAGTATATAATAAATGTTGACGACCGTGTTTTAATGACTGGTAAGAAGGGGGGGGGGGTCGTGATTGATTAGGAAAAATTACAGGCACATAATATCAACCCCCCTCTTTTCCCAGACATAACTTTACTATAGAAAATGAAATGTTCATTGAAACTGTACAGCCCCCCCCCCCCCACCCTCACCCCCACTTCTTGTTGAAATATAGTCCACTAAGGGTAATATAATATATCTGGAAAAAATTGGATTGATTGAAGTTGGACCACTCTCCCCGAAATAGGATTTTCGGGCTTGGACATTTTTTTTCTTGGCTTGTCTAGTTTTTTCGGATAAATGATTTTTTTACTGGCTGACCTCCTCTTTCAAAAAAATGATGCTACGTCACTGGAGTTAGTAATTTTTTTTAATCATTCCAGGGCCAGAATTCTATTACAAAAATCTACCAGTCGCTCATCTAAATCAATTGAATATGCCTTAGTAAGCATGCATGGGCACATATCAGTGGCAGATATGGGAATCTTGAACAAGGAAGGGGGACGGTATATGGTTGGAGACCAAGGGCGGAAAGCGGAGAAGCTCTCAGGCTTTATAGTTTTATAGAAAAAAGTTTTCAACTTAATTCAGCTAAACTTAATGTGAAACTAATGCAATGTCCTAAAAAGTTTAAGATTTTTATATATTAAAAAAAAAAAAATTCAAAATAAAAAGAAAAAATGATTGCTGCACGACTCATAATATTTGATTTATTTAATTATCAGATTAAAGTAAACACCATTGAATTTCGACGTGACTTTAATTCACAGTCGCAGTGTTAAGGCTTTGCATGTTTCAAGATTGTCAATCATTTGTCGCTTAAAGTTTTCATTTAAAGATGTCTTTCCGAAATCGCTGAGAATCTCTTCTTCGACAGTTTTCTCTCCCGCCATTTTAGTGCTTGTGGAACGCGGAAAATACGTTATGCTCATATAAAGGCCGAGGATACCCGCGTTCGCATAACGTAATAGTGAATCGACATAATGTAGAAGAGTGCGCACAGTATGGCATGAGCTTTTCCACTCTCTACCATCGGCTCATACGTGTCTGAGAGAGGAACGAACGACAACTCTGCATGGGAGATTGGAGCTTTTCACATCAGTTAATAAAAACTAAGATTGTCATGAAAAGTAAACATAACGAAATGCAAGTTGACGAAATAAAATTGTAGTATGTGTAAATGTCATAAAGAGTTGATATAATGTAAAGGAAAGTTAACACGATGCAATAGTAGTGTGGGTTAATGTCATAAAGAGTTGACATAATGTAATGGAAGGTTGGCACAATGCAATAGTAGGGTGGGTTAATGTCATAAAGAGTTGACATAATGTGATGGAAGGTTGATGTTTTAAAGGGAAATTTTTGGACAGGGTTTATTTTCGTAGCTTAAAAACTAAAGAAAGAGACAGGGCGGACCTTAAAACTCAGTTATCAGAAAAGGTCCGCCCCCTGTATTTCACATATCTTCATGTCATAAAGGAAAATTTTTGGACAGGGTTTATTTTCCTAGCTTAAAAACTAGAGAAAGGGACAGGGCGGACCTTAAAACT